GGTTGAATAGTCATCTTCACACAACTATTTCACACTGACAAGGTTGAATCCACCACCAGCTGCTGACCGTGCATGTGTGTGTGTGTGTGTGTGTGTGTGTGTGTGTGTGTATATATATACTTGAACATATGTGCAGGGTATGTGTGTAAGTTCCCATGCTCCTGGAACAAACAGCAGCAAGGAAGCTGCGTTTTACTGGTCAGTTGTTGAGGGTGTCAAGAATATCCCATGTGTTTAAATCAACTCCCCGGATGCCTGAGCAAGACATCTCTTGAGCCTGCAGCCGCCTGGACGAACTACTTTTGATGCTGTTTTTATTTCTTTGTGTATGTAGTTTTTTTACATGCAGGAATACGTTGCAATGGAATCAGCAGGAATCAAGATGTCTTGGACGAATAAAAAAGAATAGATCGAAGCAATAAATCATAGTTTGACTTTTGAGGGAGAACATGAGGTCTTGGTTAAATTTTTTTTACCTTGAATTTCTATTTTATTTTAGCTGCTCTTTGATGTTGGTATTAGTTACATAAATCCAGCTACATTAAGGTTAACTAAGGTATTGTGTTGGGTGTATGATGGACAGTCACCTTTTACATAACATCATTGATTCGTATTAAAAAATGGATAAAATGAGCTGGAATATTCAAATTTTCTTATGTTTGTATTAATCTGGTAATTTCCCATTTCCAACATGTGCATTGGTGGCTATTATGATTATTGTTCCAAAGATATTTGGTTTAACTTGAGGTACACTGTTACAGCCTTTCTTTAGTTTAGTTTAGTTTCGTTGTGATGTATTTGAGAGTTGTACATTGAGTGTGACACACTAAACGTTTTACAATTTCAACAACACCGATACTGATAATTTATTAAATGGAGATGGGATTTTTCAAAATAACGGTCCTTTTCAGAAGAAAAAGAAAGATAACACTCACAATTACATCTAAATGTTTGTGCCACTAAGTGTAAAAAAAATATGCATCAATATTTTAGTGGTATTTTTCATTAGTAGCTTGTTAGTATCGAAGTATCGATCCGCTCATTCCTAAAACCGACCGACATACACAAGAGAGAACTCTCATCAGTAACGGGGTGGTGCGGGTTACGTTCCACTGCTCATGGATGTTTAGTGAATGTAGTGGAGACCTGGCATTGTACTGTATAGTAACGTAACAGGGTGGAAATGTGTCATCCAGTGTTGACTCTCTGAGCTAACCGGCTAACCTGGAGCTCTTGCTAGCTAGCCCCATGTTGCTATCTCTCACCACCCACACAAACCACACTGCAACACAAATAATTAAACAAGTTGTACGAATTTGTATGTACAGTCCCTCATTCATTATGATCTTTTGTAAATGTTTTTGTTTTAGTGCCCTTAAAGCAGATTTATTAGATAATTTGACCCAAAAAACAACCAAACAAATAGGCTACTAGCCGCAAAACTATTAAGTCAAGCGGAGGCATGTACGTTTATTTTAGTTATCTACCAGTGAATGATAGCCCCATCCACTGTTGGTATACCAAAAAAGGGCAAAATACAAGAGAGGGGATTTCTTTGAAAACCCCCCGGCCACACACAGTGGTTCTACAGACTTTTATCTGCTTAGAAATGTTCCTCAGAACCACAGTACTCCTTCTCTCCTCTCCCCAAGACCGCACAACCACACTGCCGGGAAGGACGGACAGACATGCTTTCACTGCATGTGGTCAGTCGAGAGGGGAGTATTATTATTTAAATACAATACTTTATGTGTCAATCCCCGCTTTATATATAGTATCCACATCCAAATCTGAGTCCAAGATTTTTCGTCATCCACCTGGGCCTATAAAGATAGATAAATCAAGACGAAATGCCAGAGACCTTACAAGAAGGTGTAATCTCACCTCATTATCAAGACCAGCACCTACTTTAACAAAATGCACGTTCACTGAGACAGCGAACAATTGAACCTACATAAAAAAAGCATGACATGCATAATTATACAAAAATGTCTGGACTAAAAGCCTGGTAATTATGAGGTTTTCAACAAATAAATCCTGGAATTTGTTTTCGTGGCTGTGTTGTACAACAATGCGGAGAATGGTGCGACAAACTGCTTCTGCTACTGTGGATTATTTGAGGCTGGATGCAGAGGAAGGTGTTACAAAAAGAGTCTTGTAATCGGTACGGCGCAGTCGAAAGTGGAAATTTAGCAAAAGATGGGCCTCAGGAAAAAGAGAATTTTTCCTGGGCATTGTTCCTGTGTCTCCGAAGCCTCTCAGGCAGGTCGGTGGGTGTTTGTCAGAAAAGTTCGAGTCACAATTGAGCTGATGCACGTCGTGGTCCGGTGCAGTGTACAACGCGAAACCCCTCGTAAAGACTTATTTACAGTTGCTTTCTGCCGTGTGGTTTTCCAGTTTTATGGCGGGTCCCTTTGGTGCAAATAAAAACGTGCAATTAACATGGCTGCACAAGCAAATAGCATCCATGTGGAGTTGCGATACAGCAGCAAAGACCGAACATCTCAAAAGGACACTTCTTCCTCTTCCACGCTGTGATCGTCTTTACGCAATTGTGTCTGAATGGCACACAACGTAAAGAAAGGTTCATTAATTGAAGTGACACTTTGTAAGACTCTTTACTAACAACCTTTTTCTTTGATTTAAAAAGGTTTGTCGCATTTTTTTGACACTGCCTAAAATGTTGTAATGTTTTTACATCTAACCTGAAGTCACCTCCTTTGCTAGTAGATTTTTATTTTTTTGCTGTTAATCCGGTGAGTTAAGAGGGAAAAAATGTAAACATGAGCACATCTGTTGTTGCAAACAAAGAAAGAACATTTCTGCCCTTGCTGTGGTTAATAATAAATGGCTCCCTCTATTGTTTTGCTCTTTTTCGAAGGCAGACTTGCTTCCTGCCTCCTAATCCCAATGGGCCCGTCCTCTCAGCAGATCTCTCTCCGGTGCCTACTCCTCAAGCATTCATGGTGAGTCCTTCCATTTAACCATCTCAGGTGTTAATCCCAGCCAGGTTTCATAGCACAGCAGACGGACGCGGTAGACACACCTGTCTCTAATGGCATGCCGTCTGACCTTATTCAAACCTGCATGCACCCTTCAAACATGTCCAGGCAGACATTCCAGACTCAGGTGTGTGCTTTTGAAACACATTAAAACAGCCCTCTATTGGAATGCACCGGCGTATGTCGTTAATACATGCACACATGTTCAGGTCCTTTGCCCGGTGCAAAGAGGACATTTTTTCCAAAACGCAGAGTGTGTTGTGTACATTAGCGCGTTAGCTGTTTTGACATACTATTGTGGCGGTGAAGCAGGAAGACCTCTCGCTGGAGGAGGAATTTCAGATGAGTGCAAAGATACGCCCGCCTGGTAATGATGGGAAGCTCCAGATTCTTTTCATGATTTGACACAGCAGCCTTTTGTGGTCTGTATATCCGTTCTGTGTGCTTATCACAAAACGACACTGGGATTTTTGCTCACATTAGAGGGACAGTTCACCCCCAAAATCAAATATACACATTTGGCCTCTTACCTGTAGTGCTATTTATTGACCTAGATTGTTTTGGTGTGAGTTGCCTAGTTGTGGAGATATCGTCCATAGAGGTGTGTACCCTCTCTCCAATATAATGGAACTTGATGGCTCTTGGTTTTTGGCGCCAAAACAATACATTTGCAAAACTCAGCAGCAATGTCTCTTTACAGAAATCATGACCCTGTCACTCAAGATAATCCACAGACCTTGTCGTGAACAGTTTCGTATAGGAGCTATTTTCTTTCCACCAAACTAAACCCACCAACCTGTTCACCGCACTGAAGGAAGCCTGAATCTATACTTGATACGGTTAGCACACCTAGCATCAATGAGCTACTTAACGTTCCCGCACAGCCGAGGGGGATGCCATTAGTGTTTACACCTTGCACTGTAAACGTCCGTGACTAGACGCTTGCTTCTTCCTGCGCGGTGACATGGTCGGTGGGTGTACTTCGGTAGAAAGAAAATAGTCCCAACCTGAAACTGATCTCAACGAGGCCTGTGGGTTATCTTACGTAACCAGGGCAGGATTTCTGGAATCAGAAACTTTGCTTTTGAGTTTTTCCAACTGTCTTTATTACATTTTTTTGGGCGGTTTGAGCACCACAAGCCGAGTGCCATATAGTCCCACAAGGCGGAAATCTCTATGGCCAATATCTCTAAAACTAGGCAACTCACACAAAAACAATCCAGAGTGATGAATAGTACTGTAGGTAAGAGGCAAAATATGAATTTTTTGACATTGGGGTGAACCGTCCCTTTAAACCCTCACGTCCCCCACAGCAGCCAGGGTCCTCTGGAGGACTGGGAAACCACTGGCAGTCACAGCTACAGCTTACAGACTGCATGTGACAGCGGTGTTTGTAGGGGGAGGGCAGCTGGTTTGCATTGATGAGAGCCGACCACAAGGATGTTGAGGTGGTTCAAATGAGGCTCCGTAGAGAGCAGGGGAGTGTTGTGTTGTCTACAACTAACAAACAAGGGGGTAACTATCTCCAGCAGTAACAGCATAATGCATGCATGTTCAACTCCTCAATGCATCCGGGCTTTTACTTTGAAGAGTCTAATCTGGTTTTAATAAGAATGTTACTCATTTTGGTTTTGTGATATGAAGTCATGCTTATTTCAGTGAAAAACTACATCACTGCTTATAAAAGTGATACTTGAAAGGAGTTTTATTCCCCCAGCCTCAGGCAGGTTTCAATTCTTCAGGTTGTTGTAGTTACAGGCTTTAACAGTTAAGCCCCTACATTCATGATTGTGAGCTGGAGTTATGGGTGAGTCAGCTGGGGTTGTAGATATTCGACATATAGCGGAGCATCACTTGTGTCTGCTCCAGGGAGTCTCATGCCGGGAGGACGGAACAGGGTTTCGACCCACTGAGACACCCAGGGGCCACGTGAGCACGGTGCAGCTCCTCAGTATAAAAGCAGTCAGCCGCAGCTCGAGTGACAGAGGACGAGCTTGTGCAATGCAACGGGGAGGCTGCCTGTTCCGAGAGGAGAGTTTCTACATAGTCTGCGAATGGGGAAACAGTTCAGGTGAAGAAGAAGAAGTCGTCTTACTTTGGAGCAACACGAGAGCACAACCTGGATTCATTTGTTTTTATGCAGCTGCAGTTATGAGTAACAGTCCAGATCAGAGTGATCCTGTTCACCCCCATGGATTTATTATTTCAAAGGTAGGTTGAATATATTTCACGTACAGGACAGACGGGATGCCCCGAGGCTATTGGTCCAAGTTAAATGTGTTTTATTGTTTCAAAAGATCTGAATTTATTGAGACTATTTGAAGAAACTTCAAATTTAAAAACCTTTTACAGAAAAATAAGTGAAACACTCTCATATTAATTACAAAAACGGGTTTTGTTGGAAGGGAAATGCTCTTTGGAGCTACAGAGATATATGTTTGGCATTGTGTGTGTATCATTATGTAATATCATCATTATATTTTGTAAATTATGACGTTTTCATCATATTTCCAACAATATATTAGTAGCTTTTATAGTCGGTATGCACAGATAATAACATTTAAGCATAAAAATACATCTTCCAAAAAATAAACAATCAATACAAAGAAAAGGGAAAAATTATGAACATAGAGATTCCAACTAAAGAATATGGAAAAGGTGCAATTAAAATCATATTTAGGGAAATAAAAAATAGAGTAAATCAATACACAAAAAAGGAAGGGACAAAATTAAACACAGAACCATATATAGAATCACTTTGAAGGCTACATTTTTAATATATACTGAGCAATACATCTGTGTGTAAATAAATGTTCAATCCTTCCCAGCAGCTCACACGTATGTTAGCTGCTGCTGCTGCTGCTGCTGCTGCTGCTGCTGCACGGTAACGGCAGTTTAGAGGAATGTGTGCAGGAGCTTTCAGTGTCAACATCATCTGTCAGAACTTGCTCAGACGTTTGCAGCGATGCCTCGAACAAAGAGGAAATTCAGGCTCTTTGCACCCAGACCCACAAGAGTGGTATGAGAAGTCATTTGTAGGGATTTGAAGTTGAGCCACTTTGCCTTGAGGAGCTTTGTTTGCCCGTAGAGACGGGTTACCTGTGAGGGACCGTATGAACATTATTTGAGTGGAAAAGGAGGACATGGAAGGGAGAGGGTGTGACGAGTTTAAGTGCGCTGACCCGCCCGTGTTTTTTCTTTTCCAGTGTCATCTCAACCAGAAGAACCACACCAGGCCCGGAGCCCGGCGGTGATCCTGGCCATGCAGCACAACAACTCCTCCGTTACCACCCCCCTTCCCTTCTTCAACGACACCCATGCCACGAAGAAGGTGGAGGCCGTGGCATGTAACGCCACCCGCCCACAGAATCCCACAATCCCACATCCCACATCTGCCGTCCTCACCATGACTCTGGGCATCCTGTTCAACGTGGTGGCCCTCATCATTCTCGCCAAGGCTTACAACCGCTTCCGGCGGCGCTCGAAGGCCACGTTCCTGCTCTTCGCCAGCTCCCTGGTGGCAACGGACCTGGCCGGACACGTCATCCTCGGAGCCCTCGTGCTGAGGAGATATTCAGCGGGCACCGGGTCGGCGGCGAACCCCGTCTCCAGCTTTCAGAACGCCTCCGCCAATCCGGATTGGTCTTGTCTGTTGCTGGGAAGTTGCATGGTGTTCTTCGGCCTGTGCCCGCTCTTCCTGGGCTGCGCCATGGCTGCTGAGCGCTGGCTGGGCGTCACCAGGCCTTTGCTGCACGCCCGTCTGGTGACCATGGCGCGGACAAAGGTGGCGCTGGCCCTGATCTGGCTGCTGGCTTTGTGCATGGCCCTCCTGCCCTTCTTCAGCCTGGGCGCCTACACTAACCAGTACCCGGGGACGTGGTGCTTCATCAGGGTGATGGAGAGCACCGGAGCGAAGGACCTGGCCTTCGTGACGCTCTTCTCCGGACTGGCTTTGAGCTCCCTGGCCTCGGCCTTCGTGTGCAACACCGTCAGTGGGATCACGCTGGTGAGAGCCCGGCTAAAGAAAAGGTTGTGTTCACGACGGGGCTCAGGTGGCTCCCAGGACACTGAGATGGTGGTCCAGCTGGTTGGCATCATGGTCACCTCCTGCATCTGCTGGAGCCCTCTGCTGGTGAGCATCAGGGAAAACATTTACCAGGCTTTATCAGCATAAAATATAGCAAAAATATAGCAACTAAGTTGTTGTGTTTTTACTAATTTTTAAATGTAGATAAACATGTCATCATAAACATCATATTACATATTAAGAATCTATTCTAAAATCATCTGCATGCCCCCTAAAATGCAATACAGTGAACATTTAATTCCTGTTCCTTTTTGCGTGAGATTTCCTACTCTCTCTTTAATACTCTACAATACATTAATTCTCTGCCACTGATTGATTTTTAATAACAGTACTTTGGTCGATTTTTACACATTTCATACCAAAGGACAAAGTGATTAGCAGACCCTTTAAACGTTGCAACTGTTTAGAGGATTCAAATAGTCCGGTTGTGCCATGCCTATTATTGCACCCGGACGCAATGTACGGCTCACCGCTTTGCATCACCACAGCCAAGAACAGCAGGAAACAGGAAGTTTTGAATTCCACAATAAGTTCAACAGAGTAGCACCACTGTTTGTTTGCTTTCTGTGTTTGTGTAAATGCAGTCCCTCCAGTCTATCTGGAAGTTACGTTTAAATTCACAATAATGAGCACTGATAGATTTCTGTCCGTGACACCTTTAACACTGAGAAGAGTTTGTTTTGTGGCCGTTCTAGACCATTCAAAAGGGGGGGGGGGGCATTGGATAATGGTTGCCTCAGGAGAAAGAGTGGTTCAATCCTTGGCCCCTGCAGTAAACATTTGAAAGTGTCCTTTGGCAACATACTGAACCCCAAATTGCTGTGAGTGTCTGTGGCTCCTGAGGGACAGATGGCCCCTTGTGTGTGAATGGGAGTGTGAATGGATGAATGCTTACTTGTGTTGTAAAGTGCTCCGAGTGCTTTAAGCGCTAAATAAATATAGTTAATTTAACCCATAGGTTTGTTTTTTTCAAAAGACTAACGATGCACATAAAAATAAACACAACCATACTCATTCAGTTCTAACGACCAATTTATCACTGTTATGAATAATTTCAATTTCACCTCTCTGGGGATAAATGTGGGGTGAAAAATGTAAGAAAATAATTGCCACAGTCAGCGGGGCCAGAGCGGGGTCCAGGCTTACTCTTTCAGGGGCATCGGCCCCCTCTGGACTACCCTAGAACTGCCCTTGAGCAAAAAAACTACCTATGAAATGTATTTTTCTTAAATTCTGCCAAACTTTTTTAATCCCCTGAGCACGAACCGTTCGATTCCCTCATTGTATCTTTAAGGTCCGAGAAATCATTCCTACAATCTATTTGTTCCTACTCTTTTATTGGAGCTAAATGACGTTTACAAATTAATATTTTATGGCTGCTCCGTTCCATCAAATGTATATATTCTACATATCTTTTGCTTCATTTTATACACATTTCCCGAAGTTTCAGACTGACATATTTGGCATTTTTGGAAACTTTCGGATCTCCACCATATTTGAGTTAATTAATGTTCTGTGTGTTTGAACAATGTGAGGCTGCATTGTATGATATTGTAATGAATGAGTGAGGTTTAAGGGGTTAAACAATAGCTATTGTTGAGTTTCAATTTAAGATCTTAGTATGAATTTAATAGATGAGGCTAAACTTGTTTCAATTTTTCTTTCTTTTCAGGTCTTTGGACTGATCTCAGCCACAAAGTCCTACAGTGGCTTCCCTGCCGGTGACAGAGACACTTACAGTAGTCTGATGGTGATAGGTGTCAGGATGGCGACCTGCAACCAGATCCTGGACCCGTGGGTCTACATCTTGCTGCGGCGCGCCGTCCTCAGGAAGATCTACCGCATCACCAAGAGAAAGGCCAGTTTCAAGGGGAGCACGTTCCGCTCCATTCGCTGGGACGTCGGCTCCTTTCAGAGCTCAGAGAAAAACAACAGTGTTAGTAAGATTTAAATGGACCTATATGGAGGAAAGAGAGGAGACGGGTCTTCTCTCGTCAGCGGGATCGCCACTGAGTCCAGCAGTCCATCATCTGGATCCAAATTCAGTGTTGAAAGATTCTTACGAAAAGGGTTGTCTGGTGGGAATGACAGCCACTCTGGTTTAGGTGAAGTAAATGTGTTGGGAACAAAAACAAATGGAACAACGTGTTCCAGATTTGAAATATCACCGACCAGCTCTTGTGTTGTTGTATGTACAGTGTGAGCCAGTGTTATGCTACAAATGAATAAAGAAAAACAGCTCATTATGAACTGCTAATAGTGTTTATCAGATTGCAACATGGCCCATACACATGCTTGCACGGCAGCCTGTCCTCGACGAGAGCGGACGTAAATGAAAAAGATTCCGTCGGTTGAAGTGTGTTAACGTTTTTTTTTGTTGACGTGGAGACTGTATCTATCGTCTTAAAGCAAACATCTCAACTCAAAAGGTTTCGTTTGCTTTGTTCTCCGACAACAGTGTAAAAGTCAATGACTTGTATAAATGCTCACATAAGAGAGCCCAGAAAAAAAAAAAATCTGTGCTGTTACCTCAGCTTAAAGATGTGAAAAGCACAATGTTGTGCTGTGACATGAACGTGAACGTGCGTCTGTTATTGATTGATTATTTGTAAATGTGTCAGCAGTATTTTTCCCCAAGTCAGTCAGGACTGAAGTGAAACTGCAAAAGCTAATTGAATGTGATATTGTTAACAAAAGGGAATGTACGATTGGATAATAAATGTTCATCTGTTAATGTTTCATCTCATTCTGGTTTATGATTGATGCCATAGTTTTACAGCTTTTGTCGAGATCAGGTTCTTTTTCCAGTAATCCACTTATTCTGACTGAGTAATAAGGCAATGCACTCTCATGTTTCGTCTTGTTGGCAGCCTCTTAGCTTAGCACAAAGACTGGAAACGAGGAAACAGCTTGGTGGCTCCGTCTTAAGGTAACAGCAACACATTTAAAGCTCGCTAATCTAATGTAGAGCTATTTGCACAATGTCTAAGATCATCTGTCAATTATTTATGTCTTTCAGATTTTACTTAGCAAGAGGTAATTCTCGCATATTCTGTCATCAATCTGCTCAAATAGCATTGACAATATATTTGACCATGTATTTGGTGAAAGAGAAAAAAGGCTTAAGTGTCATCTGCATAAACATGGTAATTAAGTTTGACGTTTTGACTAAATCTGGCTTAATAGAAACATATATAGACTGATTACAAGGGGACCAAGTATGGATATTTGTGGAACTCCACAGGTGAACTCCTAACCTGCTCGGAAACGAGATTGCCAACACAGAAATGATGACGCTGACTTGCAAGTAAGACCTGAACCAGTGGATGGGAATGGTTGGCGGGATTCACATGTTACATAATATGAAAACAGACAATGCATTTTGCTAACCCCTAAAGAACTTGCCCCAGCAAGTGTGAGCTGCACGTTTTTGTTCCAGCACCTGCAGTTGGTTGCACTTAATTTTTAGTCAGCATACAAGAATCACTGATATCTTTCACTAGATAATCTATTCTTCTTTATTTCATGTGTAATTTAGTAGTGACAGATTTGTGTTTGTTCTTTGCTGGTCCTTCAAAACAAAACAAAGGATGTGAGCTGACATGCTGTCATGTGATGCCTTTATGTTTTGAATCAGGGTATGAATGTGAATCTTCCATGATTCAAGACAAGACACACTCTGTGTAAATAAATTGTCACATGGGTTTCAGAGCACCCAAAGTAAATGGTCACTCACAGTGTGTTTAAAATAATCAGAAGGCAATCAATATTCTTGGGGGTCAAACTGGAGAATTCCCACACTAAGAATACACGGATGATCCAACGGCTACACCGTGTGATCGCGTTTTAACTGATGCGATCAGCAAGGCAGCCAGTTGTTGCAGCGAGACGATTAAATTCAGTCCGTTATTACTAGACACGCCCCCTGGTTCCGTTCCCCCTTTCCCTGATTGGCTACATTTTCAGTCGCCAGTAATCTCTGTCCAATGAGCTTAATCGTTTTTCACATCGTGGGCGTTTCCGTGCACACTCCTGGCCGAGAGCTAGCGTGTAGCAGCCGTCCGTAAACAGCAACGACACCACGGTGAGCAAGAAAAATACATAAATTCATCCCCTAACACAAACTGAATGAGGTAGTATGTGGTCGCTGAACGCTAAGAGAACCAACGACGCTTGATACTTTTTTATTAGTGTGTTTGTTTTATATGTGCGTCATAAATGTATCCATCTGGCTTTGTTCGGCTAAGCTAACCTGCTAACTGTTAGCTGAGCATTCAATGGGGTCTCGGTCTTGTCTTCTCGACCATTTTGCTGTCTTTACGTGACAGACCAACATCCAAACATAATCTACCGTTGAGTCTTTGCACTTCTACATAGTCCCCCAGTCGACAAACATGACCGGTACGTGGTGTTTGTGTGTGTTGCGACTCGGTGAGCAGCATGTCTGCGCAGCTATAAACGATGCGTGATCCGTTTTCTTTTCTCGTCGGGGTTGCTAGCTAGCTAGCTAGCTGCCGAGGACCAGTCGAGCTCTGCACTGAATTAAAATGGCGTCTGTTTTTAAATCCCCCCGATGGAGCTCCGGGGTCTATTTCTTAGTAACTCACTCTTCCGCCTGGAAGAACACAACTTGTGTGTCAATGTAGGTTTAACAGGTGTGCCGGCGGCTTGTTGGTCCTGGAGCCACATGTTAGCAACTTGTTGACTAAAACATAAAAAAATAGGTGGCAATGTTTATACTCGTTATTGTTTACCCTCTTTACCGCAACTGTAAATCATCTGTAATGCTGCAAATTATCTTTAAAAAGTCAGCGCTGGCACGTGTGTCACGATAAATGAGTGAGATGTGCTGCCTGTTGACTTAATAACCCCACTAACTCCCAGATCACATCGCTTCGTTGTTGTTTTGAGGCCCCACGGATGAAGAGCCAGTCATCCGTGGATGACTCGTGTTGACCTCTACTCGCAGATCCATCACATCGAGCAGCACAGCCCTCACTGGTCTGTTTCAAGTTTCAAGTCCAGGAGGAACACCGCCTTTTAAGACCACACACCTGCCTGCTAGGAATCTGAAAAATGTCCGCCTTGCTCACAAGAAGAGGAATGTGTGCTTAAAAGCCTGATTTATTACAAGTTGCAGCCTTTCTGCCTAAAAAAGTCTAGTTGCATTTAATCCCTGAGGCATGCGTTGGCGTGTCAACAATCCTCCTCAGTTGCTCCAGCTACTATCGACTTTATGTCACTGATGGATAAGAGAAGCTCGTCAGTGACTGAGTGTGAAGGGTTTTACCCGTTTCAGTGTTCAAATCAAATATGCCATTCACCCCCCGTGGATCTATCTTAGTTGTTAGTTGGCTGCACATTTTCCCTCCCCTCTCCTTTTTAAGTTATGTTAAAATGTGTGTCTGTTTCCCCCCCCCGCTGTACAGACGGACTGCAAAATTGTCATCGGCTGCAGAGAAGATATTTTTCAACGCTGCGGTTCACTGGATAAGGGTGTCGCCACGGTCTCTAGAACAACAATGGTAATGACTTCATTTAAGCATCTCTGTGTTTGTACGTGTGACAATAGGCTGGCAGCAGCCAAAGCACGGGGCACACTTGCCTCAGCGTGGGATGTCACTGGCAACGGGACAAATAAACGCGGCGCCTCTAATTTAAGTCACAGGGCTGGTGCCAGCGTCTCTCTCCAGTCTGCCTGGGGCTTTAGGAACACATGCTCCAGCTTCTACACCACCGCTCCCCTCTAAATAGGCTTTGGCTGCCTGTGTGTACACGGGGCTTGTGTAATCACTGGTGTTAGAAGCTAGGCCCAGACATGAGACCTTGTTGCTTTTCTTTTGTATTATTATTATTATTATTATTGTTATTAATCAAAGACAAGAGAACGAGCGTTTTGCAGGTCGACCATAAGCCTGTCCCATAAAGCAGGATTAATAACTGTTCTGAATAAAACCAAGAACATTTTCCAAACTGCAACATGGACTGAAGTTGAGCTGATCTGTTTTTTTCTGTCTAGTTATCCAGGTAACTCAATAATCCTGCTTCCTAGATACAGGTCTCTGTTGTATGTAAATAGTAATGATCTTTTGTTTTTAATTCTCAAAGCGCTGTGTCTGTTTTTGCTAACCCGGGCGCAGCACGAACCTCTCTGGTATTTTCTTCTTCATTAATGATCTCGTGTCTCCCCAGCCCCCTCCAATGCGCCACCGCTCCATGCGCGTCTTCATGAACGATGACCGCCACGTCATGGCCAAACACTCCGTCATCTACCCGACTCAGGAGGAGCTGGAGAGCGTACAGAACATGGTGTCCCACACGGAGCGGGCCCTCAAGGCCGTCTCCGACTGGCTGGATAAGCAGGAGAAGGTGTCCCCCAAGTCAGACTCTGATAGCGCAGACACCGATAAGGAGAGGTGAGGACTGCCGTTCCTCATGTTCAGCCGTGGCGACAATGAGTCAGTCAGTAAGACGTGTTTGAATTCCTCTTCTCTAACCACTGTCTTTGTCTTTCTTGTGCTTCTCCCATGTGTCTGCTGTGTAGTGAGCACAGAGATCAGGCAACCCGCTCTCTGCGTGGCGTAATGAGGGTGGGCCTGGTTGCCAAGGGCCTGCTGCTGAAGGGGGACCTGGACCTGGAGCTGGTGCTCCTCTGTAAGGAAAAGCCGACCATCAACCTGCTGAAGAGAGTGTCTGAAAACCTTGTGACGCAGCTCAAGGTGAGAACACGGCTCAGCTGAAGCTTTGGTTATACTCACACTCGCGTATCGTGAGCATCCGCAGACGGCGTGCGAGTTCTGCACATGAATGGTTTATGTTACGAGTGCACCCCAGAGATATGCACAGAGACTGTAGGTGTAACTGGCGAAACGCCTTCAACCAACCTCCACAATGCAGAGGAGGGATTGTAATTGTCTATACTTGACTCATGTCTCATATTCATGGACTACAATATTGCCTTTATACAAGCCCTGTAAAGAAACATGTTAAGTATTCGATGCATTATTAAAAAACAAACAAAGGTTAAATATCCTGACAACAATTTGGTTTGGCTGCAAAATGTTTACTCAAATGAAGATTTTGAACACCTGCTGTTTCTAAAGCATCTAAACATGAGTTGGCCTTCTCTTGTATAACCTCCAGACATGTAGATAGTGCTTTTATCAGGGAACTACGGTCACGTGATCGCGCACGCCAACTTACAAAAATTCAGGTGCACGGCCAAGCGCTCCACACGCCGGCCGTGATTACGCCATTTTCTGGCGCGCGCCGACTTCCCCATGGCGAGTATAAACTAAGCTTAATTCAGTGTATTGAATAAATGTCATACCATTTTCATTATAGAGTCAAAGTGATGCTGGGTTTGTGAGGTCGATACAGATATTAGTTTTAGTGTTTACAAGACAATATATTTGCATATATCCATTTCCACATAAAAAAAAAAACACAACATAAACTTAAATAAAGATCACTTATAGTTGGTTATTGGAGAATTGTGACAGATAAGCGAGACATTTTATGGTTAAAAATAACCAGCTCATTGCTCTCTGGTGGACAAACTATGTAATGTTGACACTGGCTCTATACAACTATATTTCTGTTTTGTTACTTATCAGTGTGCATATACAGTAAACCGATACTTGATACCATAAATCTCTGATTGGATCATTGGTCTGCCAATTTAGCCGCTTGGCTCTCATTCATATGATACCAGGCCTAGTTAGACCTAATATGAATGTATTTGGTACCAAAAAAGAATGAAGGAAATAATAACAATTCTCTTATTTTCACAATAGTCTGATCTTCAACACAAACGCGGCCTTTGTCGCACCTTAAACGCGTTGCTCTCTCACAGGCGATCACAGAAGACAAGTACGCGGTGACCCAGAACATCCTCAAGGCCAGCATCGTCATCAAGAACACCAAGGAGCCCCCTCTCACCCTCACCATCCACCTGACGTCCCCACTGGTCCGCGAGGAGATCGAGAGGGCCGTGTCCGGAGGTAAGCTCCGACCCCCGGGGGCCTCGGTGCTTCTTCAGCGCCGCCACCTCCTCCAAGCAGGGAGGCCCGGCCAGCAGCCAGGCTAGATAGATATTGTTTATTGGGCCTTCAATGGAGCCGGGGGACAAGAATGCACCGTCATGTAATGAAACTGCGCTATGCTTATAGCTACCTAGACTCTCTCTCCATCTCTCTCTCTCGTAGTTCCATGTGATGTAATTGTACATTTTTGATGGCCCAATATACAGTATAGGGCAGGTAGTTTACTGACTTCTTTAATGACCAAGGGCACCAACGAAATGAAGGCTTACTGAGAAGTTAACCAAAAAAAAAAAAAAAAGAGAGACCACGTTGTTTGCATGTGTTTTATCATTGATGGTGAACGGTTCGCATTGCAGCAAAAATGAGTAGCAGAACATGTGGTGAAACTGTCCGCGGTCGTTGGACCCACCAGCGGGCTGTTGACTGTCTCTGGTGTTCATTAGCAGGGAATGCTCGGGGGCTACAGATAACGACGAGGGATTCTGCACACTCAAACAAACGCAGGGGTTCGACCCCAAGTTGTTAGAAAGCCACAGACTAAGGCATCATGTGTGTAATCATTAAGCCTGACTGCAGCTGTACAATTACAGACGCCATTGTTTTTGAAAGCAGTAGTGAGGATCTGTTTTAGCAGGTGTTCAGCCTCGACCTTATCTGTCGCCCCGTGCGAACAGTGATGCCCAGTTTGGGTTTCCTTTTGTTTTCTTTCTTATTTTAAGCCATCAGTTTTGCTGCAGTGTGGACTTGTTTTGATACCCCACTTTTTGTGCATCTGATAACTTCTGCCTGTGGTTCCAATTCTGATTCTCTCTGTCAAGCCTTCTAGTTTGTCAATTTTTAGGGACGCTGGACCTTTGACCAACTGGCCGCTCTCTGTCTCGGAAGGGGCAAAGTGCAGCGCACCCAGTGTCGGGGCGAAGGGGAGGGGCTCTGCCTCCCGTTAACGGCAGAAAAGGAAAAGCAGAACCTTTTAAAAAAAAAAAAAGCTCTGAAGCAACCACGGAAAGACAACCTCCCATTTGATATGACCTGCTAGCCCTTAAGAAATGCACATTTTGTTATAACAGGGATGTTTTTATTATATTTTTTACTAAGTCAGGTTACAACCCACTTCACAACTCTGTCGTTCTGGTGGGTTTTAAGTCCAACCTTATGTGTGCCGGGCCGTACAAAAGCGATATTAACTGGGGGGTTGAGAGCGCCTGGTGGTTCTGCGGTGGAGGGGTCCCCCTCCCCTTCCCCCTTCCGGCCTGTGGTCTGGGAAGGCTGCCTGTGTTCCCCCTGGCCGGCTGACAGAACTCCCCTTGGTCAAACTGTACCTTGTCTTCTTATTCCACCTGCCAATAGAATCGCTTTCAGTCAACGATCCCCCGGAAGTTCTGGACAGGCAGAAATGCCTAACTGCCTTGGCGTCTCTCCGCCACGCTAAGTGGTTCCAGGTTTGGATCTTGTCTTTATTTGTCTCTAAAACAGAAGTAGTTTTGGTTTCATGCCGTTTGTTCTTTTTGTCTTTTGATTTGGGCGTTCCATGTGTTTTTTTTAGTTTTCTTCTTCTTCTTCACTCTTTTGAAGTGTACTTCCTGTAGTAATACTTGATGATCTGGATGTGTGTTTCTTAGGAAACCTTTGTCATTACACTGTTGTAGCGTTGCTTTGCTAACTTAACAGGTTCTACTGCCGTACCTTTTTTTTCTTTTCTTTAAAACAAGTTCAGTGCTGCTTTTTAGTTCCTGACTTCCGTAGTGTCCCTCACAGCTGCTTTACTCAATCAACAACAAACGTCTGGGACTAATACACCGTGTATCCAGGTGCAATATTTCTCTCATGTCAGTGTTGGTGTGAGTGAGTTGTCGGTGTTTTCACATTTCTACAAGCCGCTCGTAGAGCCCCACTGCCCCTTCTGTAGTTTTGAAGACACGGTTGTTGTTTTTTAGTAGTGAGCCGTGTTGATGATAACTCATTCTAGTGTGCGTGTCATCTTTTCTCTTTCGCACCGTAACAATCATTGCTCCATCTCTGCAGCTTTTGCAGAGTATGTGGCCTCGACTTTCCCCGCTCTCTGTGTGCCACAAAATCAACAGGAATATTGCACCTCGAGTTTTTATTTGTTTTTTTTAAGCCACCACTGACTTCACTACCGCCTTTCGATGACGGCACAAAGGAACATAGATTTCTTTATCGCACATTAAAGCTTGCATTGAGTTTGAGGTGTCTTTATTCACACTTCAAACGTAATTCATGAGCATGTTGTCTCACGTCTGATAACCATGCCGGCTATCCACTCACAGCCACCAATACGACTGATCATGTTTAGGGTCTCCAAACATTATTCTATCATGCAATGTATCCATAATAACAAAGCTAAGCTGTTCCAGTCTGTGTGGCTTCCTTTTTTATTTATCTTTATTGACTTTCATTTATTTTGCCGTTAGTGTTGCTTTGGGCCTCACATGGTCGTCCTCATCGACTAAGGCCGCTTGTCCTCCCCGTGCCCCTCCCTGCTTGTGTCCTCAGGCCAGAGCCAACGGGCTGCGCTCCTGCGTCATCGTCATCCGGATCCTACGGGACCTCTGCGCCCGCGTCCCCACATGGGCCCCGCTCCGTGGCTGGGTGAGTGAGAGCCTCTCTACAGCCTCAGTATAGCTTTATAGTCTTTATGAAGCAGGTGAATGTGGCTTCTGGGAACCTAGAGATATGTAGGAGGGAGTTTTATGAAGACCCCAAAGCTATTATTATTATATTATTATCAGAATTCAGATTTTCTTTTGATAAAGCTTTGTCTGCCTGGATACAAAAAAAAAAAAAGATGCCACCATCACAGTTGTTAAACTGCTGAGATCCTGTCTAACGCAGTGACCTAAAATCTCTCCGTGTTAGTAGCCGAGCTTAAAAATAGCACCCTCAAACAACACGTCTCCCTCTCTCTCTCTCTCTCTCTCTCTCTCTCTCTCTCTCTCTCCCCCGCTCTGCAGCCGCTGGAGCTGATCTGTGAGAAAGCCATCGGCACAGGGAACCGGCCCATGGGGGCAGGAGAAGCTCTGCGGAGAGTTCTAGAGTGTCTGGCTTCAGGCATCCTCATGGATGGTATATGTATGTGAAGTATCCTCTCTTTTTTTTATTTGCATTTTTATTTATATTTTCTTCCCACTTCTAAGTGCTCCCTTATGTCGTTTCCCTCTCGCTGTAGACGGTGCTGGGATCTCTGATCCGTGTGAGAAGGATGCCACAGACGCCATCGGTCACTTGGACCACCAGCAGAGAGAAGACATCACGGCGAGCGCACAAGTGAGTGAGATACCAGTTGTTTCGTGTGCATATTCACAATTTAGTGAACGTGGAATTGACGCGGTGTCTCTCGTTCCTTCAGCATGCCTTAAGGCTGTCGGCTTTCGGACAGCTTCACAAAGTGCTTGGGATGGATCCCCTCCCTTCAAAGATGCCCAAGAAACCCCGTAGCGAGACTCCCATTGATTACACAGGTAAACCAGGCTGGCTCACCTGTGAGACTCAAACAATCCTGACTGTCGGTTATTTAGATTTTTAGATTTATGGTGTCGATGCAATTGAGGTGCCTCGCATGTTCTTATATATCATTCTGTATGTGCGTGTGTGTTGCAGTGCAAATCCCACCGAGCACGGCGTACGCCCCACCAATGAAAAGGCCCATCGAGGAAGAGGAGGGAATTGATGACAAGAGTCCAAATAAGAAGAAGAAAAAGCTGCAGAAGAAATGTAAGAGCTCGTTCAGCTCCTGTGTTTGTTGGAACTTACTTAAAGAAACCTTTCCTACATCAGAATGAACCAAGAAAACAGCTGTGCTTATTGAATTAGTCTGTTAATCAACAGAAAATAATAAACAATTTTGATAATAGATTAATCGTTGTAAATTGAATACCTTTTTGGTTTTGGACAAAACCTGCACTTTGAAAATGTCACCTCTTAGAACTTGTGATTTTTCATAATTTTTCGACTGTATAGTTGAAATGATGAATCAACTGATTGATGAGATATAATCAATGTAACGGGTACGTTTCTAACCGTATGTCCTGCTGTTAAACCAGCTCCAGAGGAGAAGGCGGAGCCCCCCCAGGCGATGAACGCTCTGATGAGGCTCAATCAGCTGAAGCCGGGTCTCCAGTACAAGCTGATCTCTCAGACCGGCCCGATTCACGTCCCGGTCTTCACCATGGCTGTCGAAGTGGACGGCAAGACCTTTGAGGCGTCTGGTCCGTCCAAACGCACTGCCAAGCTGCACGTAGCTGTAAAGGTAAGGAATACATTTCTCTGTTTTTCCCCTTATAATTTCAGTTTTTTGTTTTATTTTATATTTACGATGACTCCGTGTGTATAACTGCAGGTCCTCCAGGACATGGGCCTGCCCACAGGAGTGGAACTAAAGACCGCTGAGTCGGTGAAATCAGAGGAGGTGGTTGTACCGGTCACTGTGCAGAAACTGAAGCCAGTCGTAACACCCATCGAAACCACCGCTGCCGCCACAGGAGCTGCCAATGCAGACACCACTGATGCCGCAGAGGTACAATGCTCCTCCCCGTGTGTCGTCGAGTGACGGTCAGAGAGAAGTTTGGGGCTGATTTATTTATATATTTTTTTTATTACTGACCTTGTCTCTATAACTGTCAGAGCGCTCGCCAACAGGGACCAATACTAACCAAGCACGGCAAGAACCCCGTGATGGAGCTGAACGAGAAGCGGCGCGGCCTGAAGTACGAGCTTATCTCCGAGACCGGCGGCAGCCACGACAAGCGCTTCGTCATGGAGGTGGAGATCGACGGGCAGAAGTTCCAGGGGTCGGGGTCCAATAAGAAGGTGGCCAAGGCCTACGCCGCCCTGGCCGCTCTGGAGCGGCTCTTCCCAGAGGGCTCCATGGCCGAGGCCGCTAAAAAGAAAAAAGGGCCGACCATGGTAAGAACAAACTCTCCAGGTTTAAATCACAGTCGATGTGATCTCGTGTTTTAAAGGTATTTATCAAATATGATGCTGTCGGGGAAAACCATAACAAGAAGAACTATTCAATGAATTAGAAAGCAGTGTACGGTGCAATATTAAATAAAAATGAATAAAAATGCTCTATGTGCATTTGTGAAGAGAATGTGATGGATATGATTGTATTTAGTATTAAATATAGATATTTTACAAATAAATCAATAAAAATGTAGCCAATTATTATTGACAATATGCATGTGTATAACTATATGTATAATATATGCTAGATATAGTGTGTGTATATGTATATATATATATGTATGTATGTATATATGTATGTGTATGTGTGTGTATGTATGTGTGTATGTATGTGTATGTATGTGTATGTATATGTATGTATATGTATCTATATGTATGTATGTATGTATGTACATGTATGTATGTATGTATGTATGTGTATGTATGTACGTGTGTGTGTATGTATGTATGTATGTATGTACGTGTGTATGTATGTATGTATGTATGTGTGTATGTATGTATACGTGTATGTGTGTATGTATGTATGTGTATGTATATACGTGTATGTATGTGTATGTATATACGTGTATGTATATATACGTGTATGTATGTGTATGTATACATGTATGTATATATACGTGTATGTGTATGTATATATACGTGTATGTGTATGTATATATACGTGTATGTGTATGTATATATACGTGTATGTGTATGTATATATACGTGTATGTATGTGTATGTATACATGTATGTATGTATGTGTGTGTATGTATACGTGTATGTGTGTGTATGTATATGTGTGTGTGTGTATACGTGTATGTGTGTGTGTGTATACGTGTGTGTGTGTGTATACATGTGTGTGTGTGTATGTATGTGTGTGTGTGTATGTATGTGTGTGTGTGTATGTATGTGTGTGTATGTATATGTGTGTGTATGTATACATGTATGTATGTGTGTGTATGTATACATGTATGTATGTGTGTGTATGTATACATGTATGTATGTGTGTGTATGTATACATGTATGTATGTATACATGTATGTATGTATACATGTATGTATGTATACATACATACAT